CAGGAAAAACATTCCACCTTAAAAGTTGCTGGTAGCCTTTGAGTGGAAGAATGAATTAAACACTTCTTCTCCAGCCTCTGTGCTACTTAAAGAGCACTAAAGGTCTTTGTTTTTCAGGGGGTCAGTGATCCTGGAGAGTCCAGTCCTTTCTGTAAGAAAAGGTTACAATGTGACTCTGAGCTGCAGAAACAAGACGACTTCCTCCAACCTCACAGCTGGTTTCTATAAAGATGGCCTCCTCATGGGCAGCAGCTCTACAGGAGAGATGATCATCCACAGTGTTTCCAAGTCTGATGAAGGACTCTACAAGTGTAAGATCTCTGGAGCTGGAGAATCAGCAGAGAGCTGGTTGGCTGTCAGAGGTGAGACATTGCACTGTTTATCTTCTAATGGTTCTATAAAAAGCAGAACAGCAACCTGATAGATGTTCAGTATGTACCAGAGTAATGCTACAGCAGCCCTTAGAGACAACCTGTGACACACTGTTAATACTGCCATGCTGTTACAGCAACATATATCCTCTTGTCTTTGCAGCTCTTCACACAGAGACTTGTCCCTCCTCAGATCACTCCTTTTATGTTCTCCTCCTCTTAAGGACTGTGTTCACCATTGTGATGGTGGCTCTGCTGCTGCTGCTGGTGGGACTACTTCACTGTGGGAAACTCACAGTTACACAGAAAACTCATGCTCATATATAAAGTATATATATATATATATAACTAATACAGAGTATATTTGTCTCTCTCTCACCCACAGAGGTACTGACTGATGTATGAAGTATTTATAAAAGGCGAGTTGATGGTTTATGTTGTTCTGTGTTTTGTTTTAGACTGATGATGCTGGTGATAATTTGAGCTTCTCAGACACAAACCACATGAGAAAACGTGTGTATGTAGAAGAGGCATTCAGGAGCCTCGGTAGAAACAGTAAAGCGTTAGTGGTTTGATAGAGCTGAGTAGGTGAACTGTGTCTCGAGTAGGCCTCATATATATTCATCAATGTAACCACAGAATATGAAGTAATAATAAAAATATATTCACATTAAACCGTCTGCTGTGTTACTGCAGCACCTGACTTTAGTTCAGTCTGTCCCAAAATAGCAAATAGCAAACAGATGATAACATAATAAGAATACATGTGAATGGTGAACATATCATTACACAAAAGAGCACCTTGAGCATGCTAACATGCTTATGGTGCTCTTTTTGCTCAGGAAGGTTCCTGACTGAGTGAAAGGACCTGGAAGGATTTCAGTGGCAGCCATGATCAGAGAACATTCTCTAAATGCTGAGGAAAGATGCTTCGATGCTTCCTTTCTTATCTCTATAGCATCGGATACACTGGACCATCTTTTTAGCTACAAAAGGAGATAATGCCATCCCACAATTCCTTGCAGCAGCAACATTTAAAAAGCTGCCTGGTTTACGAATACAAACAATCAAAGGACGCACATCAACTTCTAAGTGACAGTCTCATTTTCATCTTATGCCACAATTTGCTAATATGTTAATATGTTTTGAACTTTTAACAACATGTTACAGCCATTACTGAACGCTACTGTTGCACAATCAGTTGGTTATGGAGTTGTCAGCCTGTGTGAAGCACTTTGTAATGTGTAGAAACATTCTGATATTAAAATGATCAAAGTGAAGTTCATACGTCAGTGCATAATGTTGTGTTGGTCTTCCTCATATTGGCCTTTGTTGTATTGCCAGTCTTTAAGACTATCATTTAAATATTTGAATTGATCTTCAGTCACAGATTCTGAAACTTAATAACGTAATAATGATCAGATTCACAATGACTTTTATTGCCAAATAGGTTTTCACATAAGGGAACTTTCCTTTGTATATTGGTGTATAACAATAAACACAGGACAATGGATGTACATGTAGAGCACGTCAAGAAGCATAATGAGAGGAATAGAAAATAACAATAATATACAGAAACATATTATAAAGACAATAAAAGACAGCATGTAAAATATGGTTGCTATTTCAAATGGAAGATGTGTAAAATATCACAGTAATAATTATAAAGAATATTTGCAATGTGCAGAAGAAGATTCTGATATGTGCACATCATTATTCACATTTTTTAAATTAATTTAATTAATAGTTAAATCAGCACATTTTCAATGAAATTTCACTTCATCTGCAAAGAACATTAGCCCAGTATGTTAGAAACACTATAACCAATTTGAAAAGAACTGATTTTCAACAGAAGTTCTGCATTAGATTTAATTCAGTTTATTAAGGTTATTTTTATTTATTATCAACAAAATAAAAATAAGGTCCATATATAAAAAAGATAGATAGATAGATAGATAGATAGATAGATAGATAGATAGATAGATAGATAGATAGATAGATAGATAGATAGATAGATAGATAGATAGAGAATTCTAAACCTACATTTTAAATTCAGTAACAAAATAATACAAAACATAGAAAGACAAAAAATATCTTCACTGTGAAGAAGATCCAAAAGATGACTGTTACAAATCTGCTGTTTACTGTTTGTACATTAGTGTTACATCTCAATGGACAAGAAACTTCACCATAAAATATTAATTAAAATAATAATTCCTGAGTTACGTAACATCTGATAGAGTCAGAGTTTAATTTATTTGAACCATTTTAATAGTTAAATTCTAATAATTCATAGAATTATATTTAGCTTTTTTCACCACATTTGAAACAGAAGATGTTTTGAATTGTTAAGAATAAAAATGTAATGTGTTATATTCAATAATCATAAAGAAAAGGGGTTCATTGTTTTTTTTACTGATTGTAAAGTCATGTGACCACATCTTTACGACTTTATTATGTTCACAGGAAGATCTGAGTCTGCTGTCTCTGATGTTTAACACTGCACTCTTTACTCTTCAGAATGCATGTTGGTGTAGGCTGGGCTATCATTATTATATTTCAGTGGCTATAAACTGAGAGATGTCGGATCTTTCCAGTGTCCCCGATGAGGGCCGCCTGCAGTCTGTCTCCAGAGCTCCAGGACAGGGCGAGTACAACGGGTACCATAATCCGAGTGTGACATCTGTGAAATGAAAAGGTCACACACTGACAAGCAGAATCATTCAACAGTTTAAGTTAAATATAGTAATAATGATAATAATAGTGTTGCTTTTGTTATTATTATTTTATCATATTTTCTTTTATCTCAATGAAACTCATCAACAGTGCTGAATGGGATAAGTGGATGTGAGTAGGAAAACTAACAAACAAATGTTAGTGTGTTAAATTCATTGTGTGTGATTGAATGTCATTTCCCTCTTTACATGGAAACAAGAGAAATGGATCGTAGGGTAAATAACAGGTTATTCATTTGTTTGAATGGCTTATTTGAAATGTTATTGTTGTGCATATTGTACACACGTACATACTGTAGAACTCTAACAGTGTTCATCCACACACACACACACATTACCTTAAGGTGTTTCTGAGAGGGATGTAATTCCTTTACTAGTCAGCTTCATCCTGCTGAGAGGGAAACGACACACACAGATTAGTTATTCAGGATAAATCAACTAGCTAACAGACAGACGGACAGATGGATATTGATCTGTCAGCAGTGTTTTACTGTAGTTCATTCAGACAACTCATATTTGAAATGTTATTACAACAGTATAACTATTTAGATCTTGGCGTCCAGGCTCCGACCTCATCCCTCCCTGCAGATATGTTTACATAGAGATATTGGGGAGTGAAATACCGTAGACCCCTAGCCGGAGCCTACAGGTTGACATTGAACAAGTAAAAACTCTCTTTGCTTCACTGTTTACATTTACAGAGGAATTATAATAGTTATTGTGACTTTTTGTTATATGGAGAGGTGATGATAATGGTAGTGTCTCAGATATAGACTGTCTTGGTTTCAGATAAATATCAATAATTTTTGAAGAAGATTAAAAGAAAGTGAGATGAAAACACTGCTCCATTAATTTACAGTGTTTTAAGATAGAAAATGTACCTTGGTCTCCTTCTTTAGGTTCTCCACTTTTTTCTCAGCTTCGTCCCTTTTCTTCTTCTCCTCCGTGAGCTTATTTTCCAATGGAAGGAAAAAGAGGGATGAAGAGAGATTTAAAGTGCCCATAGTTTAGTCGGGTTCAACCTCTGTTTATACTGTGAATATATACTGTAAATATCAGCTGTAACAATCAGTGCACTACTCAACTGATGAATTCAACATGTAATTCTAAAATAAGAGCATTAAAGTAAAGAAGCAGAATGTCTCAAAGTCAGCAGTGTCAGCAGGGTTCAACAACAAAATCTAATCTTTATCATATTTATAGAATGAATACATTCACTGTTACACTGCTCTGTGTTTCTGTCAACCTGAGTCCACTTTCATATATAATATAATATGGTATATAATAACCACCAGAGTGAGTTAATCATTGCATTCACTGTATTTAAACTCTGATTTTGACATTATTACAATCACATGTCTGATTAAATATGAAATATGGACAACAGGAGGCACTGTGTTCTGTTTCCTCTTAGAACTGGACTCTTTCAGCAGCTCTGCTCTTCTTCATCCCAAATGAATCTGTTACAATTTATCTTAATTGACCTAGACATAAGTGTAGTCACTGTGATCTCTGTGATATCAAACTTATATGTGTTCTGGTTCTGTTTTTTTTTCTTTTCTGTGAAATCAAACTGGTTTATGCTCCTTTCTGTATTTTGTCAACTTCATCAAGGTGCAGTTCAGTTTGTGGTATGTGGAATGGTTACCACTAGAATACATGTATTTGTATTTTGATTTCAGAAGAAACAAAAACCATTTAAAATCAAATAAACAATACGATATTACAGGAAGTTACTCCATAGTCTGATTTGTGTTTGAAAATGTTTCACAATATATAAACTATTAGCCAGCTGGAAATAAATCAGTGTGTTGAGAAAAGATGGAGAAAGTATCAATGACAATGAAATAAACTGATAGTGATTAAAGTAAATTATATTTACAAATCTACGAACCTCTGTGATCTTAGTCTGCAGCTTCTCCTCAGCTTCCCTCGTCCTCTGCTGTTCTTCCTGGAGCTGAGTGGAAGAACATGTTCTTTCATTAAGACGAGTAAAGGAACATGACAACAGGGACAGACAAACAACCCATTGATATTCATTATATCAGAAACAGGTAAGGGAACATGACAGAAACAATGGAGTTAGAAAGCTGTAAATAAATCTTTTGCAATATGTTTTTCTCTTTCCCAATAAACAGTTGAGTATCTTTTTTTTAACCTTTGTTTTTTTACATTGGTCCTTATCTTAGATACAAGATGTAATGCTGTTTCTGGCTTTGCTCCTGCTCCTGATATTTGTCATTGTATAAGTTCTAATAAACAGAATGCAGCAGTGAAAGTGGGAAAGAAAAGAAAAGTGCAGCTGTGAGACATTTAAGTTAGTAATGATCAGATGAACCTCTTTGTTCTTGGACTCCAGCTGATTGTTCAGGTTCTTCACTTGATCCTTCCTGTCCTGTTTCTCCTTCAGGAGCTGTTTGTTCAGGTTCTCCACGTCCTTCTGCCTGTCCTGTTTCTCCTTCAGGAGCTGTTTGTTCAGGTTCTCCACGTCCTTCTGCCTGTCCTGTTTCTCCTTCAGGAGCTGTTTGTGGGTTTCAGCCTGTTTTCCCTCCAACTGGGAGTGCAGAGAGACATGGAGACAGACTGTGAGATCCAACACATTCAATCTTAAAGTAAAAAGGCTACTCTACTTAAATTCATGAATCAAGAAGAGTTTTTTTAATTTAATCTTTCAACCTTAAAATACTTTGACTCTTTGTGTGGTTGATGTTGTTATACATTGAAATATTCTAAAGATAAAATAGTAATAGTAATATGAGATTAAACACTTAAAACAAACAAACAGGTAGGTGTAAACAAAACTCCATATGCTCGATATTGGCTTTTCTGCAGATATCCGATATTCCGATATTGTCCAACTCTCAATTTCCGATACCGATATATGCAGGCTTTTTACACCAAAACTGTTAATACCAACATAACATATCTCCTATTGTGGAATTAACACATTATGCCTCATTTTATTGTGATGCCCCACTGGTAGGGTGGCCATTTCCGTCACATCAAACAGGAGGACACTTTACATACACGGGGACACGCAAGCAGATATTTGTTTGGTATGATCCGGTTTTAAATGTGAATGTTTTTCCACCAGATTACATAAAGGTGCATACACATACCACATAGCTAATAATAAATATACAAGATACAGCTCATGACAACGTTCCCTTCCAATTCAGATTACATAGGTCTAATAAACATCATACAGAAACTGTTCTTAATGTTTTTATCTGGATAGATAAAGGGTAAAAAAATACAGCACCTTCTGTTTCAGATGTAAAGGCTTTGTCTATCTACATATGAGTATGAGCATTTTCAGAATTTCAGTCCAACAACCGACGTTATGTTCTCTGTCACTGAGAGCTTGATTGACAGCCTGGTGGTAACAACTGGGAGTGAGCACACATGGCTCATTTGAATATTTAAATGAGCCATGTGTTGATAGGTCACAACAAGATAATGTAACCAATGAAATTACTTATTTTGACACACATTTTTAGCCAATAAGTATTAAACTAACGAGGTAATGTGTCAAAAGGCGACCTTTTAGTTATTTTCTCAACAGGAGGACAAATGAGTGTCCAGCTTAAAGCTGCACTTGCAGCCCAATATCATCCAACTGCAGCCACAAATGGGCGTTCTCGTGCTGGTGGGGGTCCCGTTTTCGCTGACTGGAACGCCCCCTTCTTCTTCGCCTTTCTTGCTGAACTGTAACTGTCAACATCCGGTTTAATATAACATTCGCTCGTTAGTGTTTCTCAACAGAAGTTTCAAAATAAGATCTAGTAGTCTGTAAATGTATTATAGAACTAACGTTAGCAAGCTAAGCCATCTACAGAACCTTAGTCCAATTACATCTTAATATGCTTACATTTACGTGTAGGACTAGTCCATATTTCTACCAGTTGTTGAGGACAATTCATACTTTGCAGTCGCGTGATTACCATGGTTACCTGGTGGGCAAGAAACATATATTTACATATATCCGTAAAAAATGAAAGCCTACAAAAGTACAGATAGCTATCTTTCTTCAAGAGTGGATGGGTTAACAACGCTGTCGTATGGGAGGTGAACATCACCTAACGTTTGCGAATGTTTGTATGTTTGTAGCTCTACACAAAGTGACATCTGTTCCGTCGTGTGATGAAGTCTTCATCTGAATATGTACACCCTGCCTGCCGCCAATGACAGCTTGATAATTAACATTAGTTTAAAAAAAACCTTATGCCAACCAGGCTGTATCATATATGGCTAACAGGATGTCAAACATTGTAGCCTACCTGCTCATCCACTCCACATAGCATCAGACAACAGACAAGAGCAGCTGGAGCAGTGAAATGTCTTTAATCCTGTTAGTAATCTGTTAGGTTGTAACGTTAATGTAGTAGTAATAACTGTACCATAGTAACGGTATGTATGCAAAGTAACTGTAAGTAAGTAGACGCAGTACAACAGTAACATGTATTCTTCTTCTCATCAAATCAAATCAGGTACATATGATATATATATATATATACTTCTGTACAGTAAAACTGGCGACGTCCTGGTGAGATCCTTGATTAGTTTACTGGGTTCCGTTGCTGGAGAACGATGTTCTTGCCCGCCAGCTAGTAGCTGTGACGTCACGTGCAAAGTATGAATTGCGATTGGTCGATGAAACACTACCAGGAACGCCCAAGCCGCAGCTGGACCCTTCTCCTGCAGCCGGACAGGGCGTTTAAAAGCCGGACGAGTGGCCACCCTACCCACTGGATGCATACATCAATGCAACATTTCCAAATGTAAACACTGTCTGTGCAAAATAAGAGAACAACTTCAACTTTCATTGTATCGCTAGATAAGCGCTAGCTTTGGTTAATGTGTTTTATTGTATTATCCACCTGAAGGAGTGCTAATGTAAATTCTAAGCCAGTTGTTAGTTTGGTTAAGGAACAGCTCATAGCAGGGTCAAATATTTAAGGTGCATTGCACTTATTTTGTGTTAATATTAAAATCATTCAGCTTTAAATTGTTTGCTTGTTAGCCACAGTTAGCAACCAACCAGTCTAGTTGTTGTTGTTGTTGTTGTTGTTGTTATAACAATATATATATACGTCAAACAAAACTAAATATCAATAAAAGATGAACCTGTGTTATCTTGGTGTTCAGCTCATCCTCCATCCTCTGCTTCTCTCCACGGAGCTTCTGCAGCTCAGATTCTTTGAGTTTGACCTGGAAGGACAGAGAGAAGGTCCAGAGAGACAATGAGGGACATGTTCACTAATTAACATTTAAAACTTTATACTACAAACTGACAAAAACATGTCAGACAAACAACCCATTGATGTTCAGTATATCAGAAACAGGTAAGGGAACATGACAGAAACAATGGAGTTAGAAAGCGGTAAATAAATCTTTAAATATTAATTAATTAAATACATATTTTTTTCTCTTTCCCAATAAACAGATCTTTTTTTATCTTTCTTTTTACATTGGTCCTTATCTTAGATACAAGATGTAATGCTGTTTCTGGCTTTGTCTCTTGGTTTTGATGTAATCGGACTTTAAACCTGCTGCTGATATTTGTCATTGTATATCTCTCTATAAAAGCAAGAAATCTGTCTGTCTGTCTGTCTGTCTGTCTGTCTGTCTCTCTGTCTGTCTGTCTGTGTGTGCCTCAAATATCTCTGCAGATCAGGATCAGACTGACCTGAGAGTTTCAACATGGCTGCTGTGTGGTTTAAGGGTGTGCAACGTCGGCTTTGTTTGGACTACAAAGATACCGTTAATAAATGATTTCATAAATGATTTACGAATTCCGCTAGCATTGTCAACCATAGCCACCATAACCACGTGCACACCAGAGCCAATCACTGCAGAGCCAATCCCTGCAGAGCCAATCCCTGCAGAGCCCACCCCCATGACACACCTCAGGAAACACGCTGATCTATACCTGCAGCGGCGCGAGCGGCTTTATACCTGCAGCGGGTTTTGCCGGCTGTTGGGTCCCGTTCTGTGCATCTAAACTGACTGTTGAGGATTACTGAGACTGAACGAGTCCGGACCGAGTCTGTTCCGGTCTGAGGAGATCCGCATACGCGAGGACAACAAACTGGAATCGAAATCTGTGGATGTTCATCTGTAGCTAGCTGCTCCATGAAAAAGCTACTTAACCTCCCACTTTTATATAGCAATACACACTTCCTACGGGCACTGCACTAGTGTTCTAATAAACACAGAATGCAGCAGTGAAAGTGGGAAGGAAAAGAAAAGTGCAGCTGTGAGACATTTAAGTTAGTAATGATCAGATGAACCTCTTTGTTCAGGTTCTTCACTTGATCCTTCCTGTCCTGTTTCTCCTTCAGGAGCTGATTGTTCAGGTTCTCCACGTCCTTCTGTCTGTCCTGTTTCTCCTTCAGGAGCTGATTGTTCAGGTTCTCCACGTCCTTCTGCCTGTCCTGTTTCTCCTGCAGGAGCTGTTTGTGGGTTTCAGCCTGTTTTCCCTCCAACTGGGAGTGCAGAGAGACATGGAGACAGACTGTGAGATCCAACACATTCATTCCTAAAGTAAAAAGGCTACTCTACTTAAATTCATGAACCCAATTCAAAATCTTAAAATACTTTGACTCTTTGTGTGGTTGATGTATGTATGTAAATAAAGCAGTAATTATGAGTTTTAAAACTAAAAACAAACAAATAGGTGGGTGTGTTTAGCTGCTAAATGCTCCACTGTGTTCACCAGCTAGTCTCTGACTGTGTCTGTGTGCTGCTAATAAAGCTAATGTACAGTGGGTTCTTGTAATCGGACTTTAAACCTGCTCCTGATATTTGTCATTGTATAAGTTCTATTTCAGTTTCTCTTAATTGACCTAGACATAAGTGTAGTCACTGTGATCTCTGTGATATCAAACTTATATGTGTTCTGGTTCTGTTTTTTTTTTTCTTTTCTGTGAAATAAAACTGGTTTATGCTCCTTTCTGTATTTTGTCAACTTCATCAAGGTGCAGTTCAGTTTGTGGTAAAGAGAATGGTTACCCATTGATGTTCATTATATCAGAAACAGGTAAGGGAACATACCAGAAACAATGGTGTTAGAAAGCTGTAAATAAATCTTTTGCAATATTTTTTTTCTCTTTCCCAATAAACAGTTGAGTATCTTTTTTTAATCTTTTTTTTAATCTTTTTTTTTACATTGGTCCTTATCTTAGATACAAGATGTAATGCTGTAACTGGCTTTGTCTCTTGATTTTGATGTAATCAGACTTTAAACCTGCTCCTGATATTTGTCATTGTATAAGTTCTAATAAACACAGAATGCAGCAGTTAAAGTGGGAAGGAAAAGAAAAGTGCAGCTGTGAGACATTTAAGTTAGTAATGATCAGATGAACCTCTTTCTTCTTGGACTCCACGTCCTCCTTCCTGTCCTGTTTCTCCTTCAGGAGCTGATTGTGGGTTTCAGCCTGTTTTCCCTCCAACTGGGAGTGCAGAGAGACATGGAGACAGACTGTGAGATCCAACACATTCAATCCTAAAGTAAAAAGGCTACTCTACTTAAATTCATGAACCCTATTCAAAATCTTAAAATACCTTGACTCTTTGTGTTGTTGATGTTGTTATACATTGAAATATTCTAAAGATATAATACAGCAGTAATATGAGATTTTAAGGTAAAAACAAACAAATATGTGGATGTAAGCAAAAATGAATATCAATAAAAGATGAACCTGTGTTATCTTGGTCTTCAGCTCATTCTTATAGGGTTCTTACAGCTTTCTCACTGAAAGCAGCTGCTGCAGCTGAAACCACACTATGAGAGCAGTGACAGTGAACCAACACTGTGATAAGTTCAGCACAAATTCTTCCTTTGCAATATTATGGATTTTATTTGTTATTCTTTGTTTTTCCTGCAGCCAATAAAATACAGTTGAGTATTTTAGTCTTTTGGTCCTGATCTGAAACACAAGCTGTCGAGCTGCTTTTGGTTTTGACTCCTGCTTTTGAAGTGATCTGCTTTAAAAGAGGACTTTAATCCTTGTCCTGACATTTGTCATTTTACATATTCATATAAAGTAAACATCCAACTTCTACCTGGAAATCAACTTTCAGTGAAAGTGGAGGAACAAAGTGCAGCTGTGAGACATTTAAGGACTGAGGACAAATCAGGCTGGACACAAAGAAAATCAACATGAATAAACTGATAGTGATTAAAGTAAATTATATTTACAAATCTACGAACCTCTGTGATCTTAGTCTGCAGCTTCTCCACTTCCTTCTGCTTGTTCTGTTTCTCCTTCAGGAGCTGACTGATTTCAGCCTGTTTTCCCTCCAACTGGGAGTGCAGAGAGACATGGAGACAGACTGTGAGCTCCAACACATTCAATCCTAAAGTAAAAAGGCTACTCTACTTAAATTCATGAACCCAATTCAAAATCTTAAAATACTTAGACTCTTTGTGTTGTTGATGTATTTGTGTAAATAAAGCAGTAATTATGAGTTTTAAAACTAAAAACAAATAGGTGGGTGTAAACAAAAATCAACATATACATGTCAGCTGATTTGTCCTCCAGCTAAAAGACAGACAGACAGACAGACAGACAGACAGACAGACAGACAGATGTTAATCAGCAGGAAGTGACAGCCTGACACAGAACCTGAGACTAGTTGAACATTAACGTTTCCTCTCAGAACTGATGGCTGAATACAACAGTTTGTATCATAATCAGACAGACACACAATAAATATAGATTCAGCTGCTAGTTTTCTTTGTAATGTGAGATTATTGAACACTAATGTTCAGTGTGAGTCCCTGCAGACTCTGGAACAGCTCAAATAAACACACTTAGCATTGTTTCATCATCACACTTCATGACTTTTATGTTTCAGTAGTCTGCTCCCTGAACATGAAATCACTTCTGCTGTAAAACCTGGTTGACGGATTTCCATCTGCTCTATATCTGTGATGATGATGATGATGATGATGATGAGAGAACTTTTATACAGCTCTGCTCTCCTTCATCCCAAATCAATCTATGTGAGTTTCTCTTGTCTCTCTTTTATAACAGTTAGTTGAACTGACCTCAAACATCAGTCACAGCACTGTGTAGGATATCATACATTGTCTGTGATGTGTTTGTCAGGATATATTTCTTATTTGCTTTAAATAAAACTGCTTTATGCTCATTTCTGTATTTGTTCACCAGTTCAGTTTGTTGGAAACAGAATGGTTGGGAAGATACAAAGAGAATCAACACCACATTCATGTACTGTATATGAAAAGGAAACAAGACAACAGTGACAGCCAAACAGGTCTGTCAGGTTACAAATATATGTACAGTATCTCAGCAGGGAGCATGACAACAAAGGAGAGTTTGATATTTAAAAGTCACAATGCTATATTTTTGATAGAGATCAATCTGAAGGAGAACTTAAAGGAAAGAAACCTTCTGTGGAAAATACAAATACCAACCTCTGTGGTCTTATTCTGCAGCTTCTCCTCAGCTTCCTTCCTCCTCTGCTTCTCATCCTGGAACCTCTGGCTGGTAACCAACGGCCACTTAATATGAAAGAGAGAAAGGAGACTGAGATTAGAGACAAAAAAAAAAAGCTAATCCTAGAAAATGTTTTCCATTAATGCTAGCACATTTCCAACATGTCATATTTGTGTTCATTATAGTTATTTTATTTACTGTTTTTTATGTTAATATGTTCTATCCTTCCTGCTCTGATGAAACTTTACTTTTCCTGACTTTTCCTAGTTTAATCCCTGAAAGCAAAGTCCTGTTTCTTTACTTACATGTGAGTTCTTCTTTTTCTCTTTTCCCTCATTCACCTCCATTTGCACTGTTTCATGTGACGTGAGTGTCTCTCTCTCTTTTTCTTCAGTGACACACTGATCTTCACTTTTGTTACTTTTAGACTGTCTTTTCCTTGTTCCTGCATCAGTTTGATCCCTGTGCTTTCTCTTGGTCTCTGTGGAAAAATAAGATTCAATATTAAAGTCTAAAAGACATTTATTTATTCATTTACCTCACTATAATCTGCTTTTTTTAACTTCTTAACTTTTATTCTCTTTTTGTTCCTTCTTATTTTTTCACTGTAACTCTCTGAACTCTCTAACGAGGTTGTTTGAGAGAGTTTTTGTGTTTTAATGCCGCTTCCACCGGACACACTGCCGTTGTTTACTCCGGAGAACAGCTGATCTAATGCCGGTCGGTCGGTACAGTGGACAGAACAGCTGATCTAATGCCGGTCGGTACGGGGTGGACAGAACAGCTGATCTACCAGCTGAACTCTGGAGGAAACACACCGGGGATGAAGAGGAGGGAAGGATGAAGACGGGACGGGTTTATGGAGAAGGAGAAGATTGAAGCCGAGTTTCCCCTCTGTTGTTATGGTGGATGTGCGGTCTCCTAGCAACGGAATGAACGAGCTGACGGCATTGACGCGGAGCCCCGCAGAGTACCGGGATTGTACCGGGAGTGAACAGCTCTGTGGCCCGGATGTTGAACTGCTGTCGTTGGACTCCGTCCATCTACCGAGAGAGATCCTGCACGTCATCATCATCTTCATCCCTCCCTCTGTAAACCCAACATCCTGCTGCTGAAGAGGAAGCCTGCGACCACTTTATATATTCTTAATATATGTATGTCTATCTCATATGGAGTATGTAACGAAAGTAATTTCCCCCTGGGATTATTAAAGTATGTCTGATTCTGATTTCACTGAAGTATCAAAGCTCATGAGACATTTCAGACTAAAATCAGGTATAAAATGGGTTTTAAAGACACCTGACAATTTCACTGATTGGAAATAAAAGTAGACAAAGAACCACATTTGTAGGTCTATAACCTGTGAAATACCAATCAGTTCTGATCCCAGGTGATCAAATACCCTCTACATCTCATACAGATAGACATGGTACCCTTTAACATCTGTGTGAGACATTTTTAACACATGGTTAACGTTGTGAAACAGTCACTGTTTGGTTGTTGAGCAACAAAAGGAAAAGGTCATGGTTTGCATTAAAATAACTGTGTTACTTTACGTTAATCATGTGACATAAGTGACTCTACAAGTCACGTGAACTATATGTAACTTATGTAACTGAAAACCTAAAATAACATCAGATACAATCAACATTGAGTTCTGGTCTTACAGAGGACAGGACCCCCAGTCTCCTGGGTTAGTTTGACCCATCCATCCACCCCACCACCTTCATATGTGGACTTTCTTGCTCTTTATACGACGTCACCAGACACAGATGGGTTTCTGTTGTGTGTCTCATACAGATGTTAAAGCAGGGGCCTTAAAAATACCGGCTCTGGGGCCATTTCCAACCCGTGACATGTTATTAAACATATCCCGCAAGATTAATTATTATTTGGAATTTTTTTTCTATTTGGTTGAACTAACAACTCCAACAGTGGCCGGAAGGTTATTTGAGTTTCACAGCCCTGTGTTAAAGGTACCTTGTTAGTCAAAAATATTATTTTTAAAATTTTCTTCCCACAATACATAATTGCTATATTATTCTCTTTAAAATAACTTTAACATTGTAACTTACTGTTTGTGTTGCGTTTCCACACAAAAAACACAAGTAACAATATAATCAGGATGCAAACAGCCAAAGTAACAGCCAAACCAACTGTGGCAGAAGAAGAGCTGGACTCAACCTCAAAAAAATCATCTGAAAAGATAAAACACAAAAGAACATGGTAATTATAGAAAAGTACAGTTGACCTCAGCTATTTAAAACAATACCAGTGATCCCTTCATAAAAAATATATATAAATAAATGTTAACCAGAAATCTGAATGTGCGTCTCTCTGATCTGGTTGGTCTTCTTCTGTTGGACTCTACAGGTGAAGTTGTTGCTGTGTCTCTTCTCCACAGTCACTCTGCTGCTGACAGTATAGAGGTCATCAGGACCTCTGACTGTCTCTGTAGGTCCAGCAGAGAGGAGGTTTCCCTCACCGTCCAGCCAGACCACCTCAGGCTCTGGATACCAGCCTTTAGACTCACACTGTAGATCTAGTCCTCCTCTGTTTCTGTCAATCCCTGATAAATCAATGACAGGCGAGGAAACGGCACCTGAACCTGAGCAAAAGGAAACATTTTAAAACAGTAAAAAAGCACAAATATATCTATACAGCTTCAAGTATCACTTTTAAAATGAGTTCCAAGTTGACTGAAAATCAGCTTTTTACTTGTAACCGTGGTTCCTATATGGTTATTTGTCCCTGAACTAATGAGGGGACACATAGACAATTCAAACAGTTTTTGGAGACGGAGATTTAAAGAAGTCAGCTGAAGACATTAAAACTTCAGTGTTGGCGATGTCTAATTAATACAACTGTCAGCTAAAAAAAAGGCACTGGTCACTAATAAAATAAAAAGAAAAGCTTTTTGTGTAAATCAAGAATCTATCAAAAAAGATTGTTACTCAATTTTGGCTGGTTAATGTGACACTGTTTGCATTGCACACTGCATATTGGCCATACTACGGAGCAAAAGGGTCAGTTTCCATGTGAAGGTCGGTCCTGGACTACTGCATATGAGATAAAATGTTTGTTAGGCACAATATATTACTTCCCATAACATTTACAACTATAAGCTCTTTTTTTTTGTTCTTATGAAAAAACAAGAAGCATTAACCCTCATTTACACAGATGTTTGATGACTCTGGTTTTATTCTGACCCACCAAAATTCTTCTCTGGATGTGAACCACACCAAACTGTAGATACACTATGTGTCCACTTACCAACAACAAGATCAACGAAGGATTCTACACTCAGTTTGGGAATGTAGCATTGGTATCTCCCCGCATCAGAAGGTTTCACGTCAGTGAGCTTCAGTGAACAGTTTCCGTGCCTCAGCTCATCGATGAACATGAAGGTTCTTGCCTTGTAAGAAGGATGTTTAGTTACTGCAATGTGCTGGCCAGCACGCCTCACATGGACAAATTCAGGACTCAAGTCAGGTCTCGTCCACTCCAGCGTCATGTCAAAAACATCCATTCCAGGTTCCAGCTGACATGGCAAAATGATGTCACCCCCAACATTTGCCACTATTGGCTGAGATGGACCAATTAACAGAGACTGACCTGGAAAAGAAACGCATATAGTTATTCATTTCTATGTGACTTGATGTCCACCATGATGCTGTGCTAATAACAACAGAATCTTTTTTTTAAAACCATGTTATCAGCAGGTCAAAATTTAAACTGATTTGTGACCAGACACCTGCAAAACTAATGACATTCCCATCAGCATTAGCTGTGCTAATTAGCAAATGTTACATGCTAACCTAAGACTTCTACCACGGTAAACATACCTGTAAAATATTATAATATCAATTCAAAGCAACTAAAGTACATTAAATGTTTTTATGGTTGTCTTTTGGTAATTTCAAGCACATGGTTTAGGGAAAGATCATCATGTGAATGCCAGAGCTCCCAAATCCTTAACAGTGGTCTTTAACCTTTGATTTTATGATTACATTTGATCCAAGGACTACCTGATCATGGGAGTGCATTTGTGTGTGAATTACCTCTACAAGAGTGCAGTAGGAGAAGCTGGAAAACCAAAAAACTGAGAGTTTTGAGTGGAGACTGAAGGAGGAGTCCATTCTTCAGGGAAAGCATCTTCAAGCTCTGAAAATCCACATACACTACATAGAAAATATGTTGTGCAATTGGTGTTTCTGCAAAATAATAAAAGACACAAGTAACACAAGTAAAAATAAGTAAAAATAAGTATTGTGCACTGCTGTTGAACTTTCACTTTTGGAAACATAAACGGTTCTACAGAGAGTGCTGTAGCTGTAATATGCAATACTATGTATGATGTAATTAAAAATGTCACTTTTCTTGCCAACATGGCTGACAGACTGTTCATTGATAGACTTTTCTAATATTTTAGCCTTCAATAAAGCCTTTCTATGATGCAAAGCCCCATCATGCCTAATCTTCCTGTTCAAACAAACTAAATTAAAGTCTGATTGAATTTAAAATCATCATATCGCAAGTACTAAGCACATCAAACACACATTTTATAAGTGGTTTCAACTATGTATTTATTTTAATAAACTTAATTATTAGACTATTATTACAAAACTCACAACTCCTGATGCAGAATGCTTTTATTAAAGTGATACTGTTTTTTTTTTTAGAATATAAGTTACTTAAAATATGAAAAATAGGCAAAAAATAGATATAAAAGACGACGTACCTGCTGCGTGATGTGTCGGTTATTTTATGAGACTGAAAGGACGGAGTCTGTAATGAGTCTGTAAATCATTAACAGTGTGTGTTTATCAACTGCCAAGAGCTCATGCATTATATGTAGCTTATATTGCAGATTATGTATTAACAGATCATAAATTTATCCCAGAGTAAGTATAGCCTTTCAGTGATTTCTCATGTACCGTATTGTTTTAAATGTGGAACAGTAACAGTTTTTCTCAAATTATGAGCTTTTTCATTGTATGAATTATTTTATTCTATTTTATTACAGCCGTATTGAAAGTGTTATTATTTTATATGTTATCTACTGTTTATTTATGATTATTTCTGTGTGTAGCATGAAGAGATTACAAACTCTAATTACATTGTGCAATCTTGTGTTGCATAATGATAAATACATTTCCATGACCCTTCATCTCTGAACATAGTACGGTGAATGGGTCTGCCTCGCATACATTCACTTTCACTTTGATTATCTTTGTGAACAATTGAACTTTGAGCCAGTTGCCAGGTAACTTGCCTGCCAGGTATAAACTTACACACCTGCAGTTACAACCATTAGTAATGTAGGAAAGTGTGAGGGTTTATAATGTGGATGTTAGGTCTGCTCTTTTACTAGCGAGGGCAGAACATGATTATTTAGTCCATTTTGTCACACCCACAGTATCAGGTCTTTCTATAAAGTGAGGGAATGTGACGGACATTGAACAATTAAAATATATTGCTCATTATAGTGCAGGTATATGTTCAGTGTGCATGCAGCAAATGATGCTGAACCATTGAGTTGAACTCTTTTCCTAATTAACTCTTTGATTTGATGTTCTACAGCGACATCTTGTGGCCACATGTCATCACAGCGGTTACACTAGTAATTGAATTCATGAAAGCTCACTATTTCATGTTGAGTGCAGGAGTTTTACTTGTAACTGAGCATGTTTTATATTAAATTACTGCTAGTATTTCCTAAGTTTAGACTTTGAATGTTTTGACAAGAGTTGCTTTTTTTGCATTAGTGATGTCATGGATTGCATTTATATTGTGTTCTTATCCAGAGCCCTTTATAATGTGACTTTCATTTGCCCACTGACACTCACACAACAATGGCAACATATCCGTCCAAGGACACTTCAACAGGAGGAGCTGATGATCAAACCACCAACCTTAGAATAACTACTGAGCCACAGCCACCCCAGATTAAGCTGGAGGGGAAGGGGTGGTAGACCCTGCTGAGTGAGTGCCTATAAGTCAAAGACTGACAGACCATTCTGGCTTCAGCTTTTGCATCAACATCAGAAATAAACTGCACAGGAAGAGGAAGTTCTCGCCTACAGACTTAGGTTGTACGTCAGTCTGATGCTCAGACAGTCAGCAGGAAGACAGCATGGAGGTAACAGCTCTCTGCACAATGTGTGAGTACGAGTCTCTGGTTTTCTTCTTTCTTTCTACGTTTTACATCCTTTTTAAACCATTTGTGTCTGATAAACTTTGTTCCTTTGTTTATGCAGTGATGTTTGAATTCACCCTGCTTCAGAACACTTATGCTCAGAATAGTGGTAAGTGACAATTTGGTTCCTACTGTTGTTTAATGTTGAGTTTATATGGTCACATTGCTGATGAATACCAGAATGTATCTGACAAAAAATACCAATGTAATCAATCAAAAAGTGGAGGAACCTACAATGACTTTTTTTGATTTTGTTTCTTCTGTCGTACTGTAGACATTTTTCCAGTTCTGAATGTTTCTTTCTTTTGGGACACTATCATGTCTTTATGTCTTTCTTGGTTTCAGATGGAGCTTTTCTTAGTATCATTCCAAACAGACTGCAGCACTTTAAATTTCAGTCTGTCTCTTTTCACTGTGAGGGGAGTGATGGGTCCATTCAGTTGAGAGGGATCAGGAATACTGAGGAATTTGATCCACAATGTGTCATTAAAAGGACGCCAACAGGGTCCTTATGCACTACTGATAGAGCCTATCCAGAAGACAGTGGTGAATACTGGTGTGAGACTAACGGAGGAAAAACAAGCAACAGAGTCAACATCACTGTCGCCGGTAGGTTTTTTTCCAAAACCACTACAAATCTATTTTACCCTACAGTCTAATGTATAGCCTATATTCTCCTATCTGCCATTTTAGTCCCAACCTGTCTAATTCTCCACATTGAGTGAGTAACTCCAGCTTTGTACATGGGGATAACTTTTTTCTAAATTTTTTTCAACATTTTGCTCAGCTGGTTCTGTGATCTTGGACAGTCCTGCTCTTCCTGTCTTGGAGGGAGACAATGTAACTCTACATTGCAGAAACAAGACTATCTCCAACCTGCTGTCTGATTTCTACAAAGATGACCTCCTCATAGAGACCAACTCTACAGGAGAGATGACCATCCTCAATGTTTCCAAGGCTGATGAAGGCCTCTACAAGTGCAGACTCTCTGGTGGAGAAACCTCACCAGGAAGCTGGCTGGCTGTCAGAGGTGAGACAGTGTGATAAAACAAAGTAGAAACAATAGTTTGCTAGCTGTGTTATACACACTGATGGCATCCCTACTTATGAGAGTAAGAAAGTTTTTTTAAGCTTGTTTTAAAATTGTGTATGACACCTGCCATTGTTATAAAAATGTGACCATTAGTTGGTTGAATAATTACTAAATGCTTTAGAGCCATCTGGACTAACACCCAGGAGGACACTGGAGACACATGACCTCTCCACCATGGAGACCTGGAAGAGGACAGACCACACAAACACAAAAAAGACAGAGAGTTCAAACAGTAAGGACAGATAAACTGACATATGGAGGGAGAGACGTGATAGCAAGCTACTAGGAAGAGAGGATACGACAGGAGAGGCTGACACATGTGACTTCACACAGTTGAAAACTAAACCAAAGAATCCAACATGATGTCTGTCACTTGAACTCACTTTATTAACATGACATTTATTGTTTTATATGGTTTGTAATTTTTTTTGTATTATTACAGCAAAAGCTGTAGCTAATGCTATTGTTACAGCAAATTATCCTATCACCTCTCCATCCCATCATATCACCTCTCCATCCCCTCATGAAGAGCCCCTCCCCAGGGACTCAGCCCATGTGGTCCTCATCCAGCTGTGGATTACTGTCATCATTTTAATGATGGTTCTGGTGCTGGTGATCGTAGGATTCCTTCATATAAGGAAGCGTAGAGGTACAGTCCCATAATATAGTATATAAACATTTTCATTATACATTATAAAGTGATACCACTCCCTCTTTCATCTCTATATTTCAAAACTATCCTATATTGTACAATTATGGTGGCTAACACTACTTATGCTAACTGTCCAATTGAAACAGAAACGTAATAAAGAATCAGTATCTGTGTATCAAAAGATTTTCCCAAAGAGAGCCACACGTTTAAAATAATTGAAAAATATATTTATATATTAATATACAATTTTCTACTCCTGTCTCTGTTGATGTTAATACTTGTTTCTGTCCCTCAGTTTCCTCAAAGAAGAATACAGCATGCTCAGGTGAAGACATTCAAACTTGTCATTGTAGTTATTATCAGAGTACTTTTTACAATTATATCCTGTACACTACAGAATATACAGTATATGTGTGTGTGTGGTAATGTACACCTGTCAACCTTCTACTTTAATGTTTTATATGTATATTATATTATTATTATAATATTATTATTATTATATTCATTATTTATTATTTATTATATTATATTGTATTATTATTATTATATTATATTTATATTTATTTATTATTTTATTATAGAAGCCGTTTATGAGCATTTGTTTTTTTTGTTTCAGTCTCTGGAGCGCAATCTGAAGACGATCCGAGCGGTGTGACGTATGCAGTCGTCGTCACTAAACAGAGAAAGGATGAAGGTTTACTTGAGTTTGAATATATTTTTTTAAACATGATATCAGAAACGCAAGAAGACTGTTATGGGTAATTTTATATTTGAATAAATAATAAGGATCATTTAATAATTAGAATACATTTAAAATAATTGCAAGAGAGTTTGATGTTACTGTCCTTCATGCTGAACAGACAGTTGAGGTGTTGTTACCAGTAAAGGTTGAGACGTGCTGCACAGCAGGGCTGATGGCTGAATTATTTTTACCTCCTCTCAGCGTCTCATACGTGCTGTTCTGTTATAGACTCGGCAGACGCTGCTGATAATTTGAGCCCAGAGACAAACCACAGCAGAGAACCACAGAAGGAAAGAGGTAAGGGGGGCCCGTTGTCCTCTTTAGTCTGCCAATATTCATAATTAGCTTTCTTAAGTTCTTTCTGAGGTCTTTTGCTCTCTTTCTCTTTTGGTTTCTCCGCCTCAGATGAGGACGAGTCTTCGGTTCAACTTGTTTACTCTACTGTGGTCATAAAAAAGACTTCACAAGATACCCAGCCCGGTTTGTTATTATTATTATTATAATACATGTGAACAATTTGTTACATTTCATATATTTTAAGATATATCTCAATATGTTTGCACCGTTGAGTGACACTCACAGCATTTTAACTCAGGACAGCTCAAGATGTTCCAACAGTGCATCATTATTACCACTTTATAATTCAAATTGCAATTCACTGTGTCATTTTGTTGTATGAATCAGGTACCAATAAAATACTTATTTATTCCTACTGGTACTTAAAAGCTGGTACAGGGGAGGAAAAGAAGACAATGAGGTACAAGAGAGTAGAGTAACAACTGGGCAGTTTAGAGGAAAAAAGAATTATAAGAATAAATGATTGAGCAACTTTTTTTTTTTTTTTTTTAATTTAACATGACATCCTCTTGTTTCTAAAGCTGAATCAGAATTATCCAGTTCCACAGTGAGCCTGAATCCCACAGCAGCCACAGACCCAAATACAACAGAGCCGGAGACTCTCTATTCTACTACTTCCGATTGAACTAGAACTGTAAGGGATGTAATTGATTATTAAAATACTGATGAATTTTTTGTTGATTGACTACTCAACTAATCAATTAACTGTCTAATTGTTTCAGCTCTAACACTGTTAACAATCATTTGTGATAAAACTTTAGCTTAGCTTAAGGTCCTGATCCCTGGACAATAATGTCCAACCTGGGGAGCCTGTTAAGTAGTCCACACCAGTGTCATGTGGCTGGGATATGGCTGAAAGCTGAGCGATAAGCTGAGTAAGTGAAGGTTGAGTTTATAATATTTTACCGCAGATATCGTACTCTGTATGTTCTGTCTTACAGGCCACGCCGAGCACAGACACCTGACTGAAGAAAGGAGGAGAAACTCTATTTTGTTATTATAATGTGAGCAAGTGACAAATAATTTTTATTTTTTTTTTTTTTTTTTTTTTGGGCTTTCTTTTTTCCTCCTTTTTTGTGGAGAAAAAATAGGGGGGGGGGGGGCCCCCCCCCCCCCCTTCTTTTCATATTGAAAAAATTAAAAAAGAGGAGGGGGGGAGAGGGGGCCCCCCCGCCGAGAAAAAAAAAAAAAAAAAAGAAAAAAAAAAAAAAAAAAATAATTTAAAATAAATAAAAAAAAGGGGGGGGGGGGGGGGGGGGGGGGAAGGGGGGTAGGGGGGGGGGAGGGAAGGGGGGGGGGGCGGGGGAAAGTAAATTAAAGAGGGGGGTAGTTGTTTTTTAATTGTTTGGTTGTGGGAGGGTGGGGGGGGGTGGGTGGGGTGTGTGTGTGTTTTAAAAAGGAGGGTTTGGGGGAGGAGGTGGTTTTTGTTTTTTTATAATTGGTTGTTTTTTTATAAATTGGTTAATGAAAAAAACTGACTTCGTGCCCTGCCTGAACTAACGCTGCTCAATTAGTGTTACAGTTGTATTTGTTTATTTGAGAATAGTATGTACAAATAGAATTTTTAATTGCATTTGTTGTAAATAATAATAATCTATTATTATTCTGCATGTGAAAGCTTTTTTTTTACCATGTTGCATTTGTATACAGCATTTTCTATTTTACAACTTAAATAAATGAAATTGCCATTTACTCTTGAACTGCACTGAATTGAATTCAAATCATTTCTTTAATCTATATTTTGTATAACATTAGTTAACGTTAGTCATTAGTTTGTATACTTTTAACAATCCAGTAAACTTTATTTTATATTTTCACATCAGCTAGATGATCTGGTCAGACACTCACAGCATCACATCACAGTTTTATTTCAGTGTCACAGTCAAACCACTTTGTTGTCAGTTCACACGCGTAGTGACGGTCTTACTAAGAGCTGCTGAAGCTTTAAATACTCTCACTGTGGTCAGCCACCAGCATGTGACATCGGTTTGGCCCGAAGCAGCTGAAGTTTAAAGATTTACTGATACATTTCTTTGGTTTCAGTAATAAAGTCAGGAGCCCTTGAACCAAAAACAAATAAAAAAGTGAATTATATTTCCAACTAAATGATAATTAGTGATATTTAACTACATACAGCCCCAACAACAACATTTTTTTTTTTTTTGCCTTAATGATTTGTAAAAAGATGAAGAAAAATATGAATTGACAAAAATATATGAACATAACATGACTGTAGTCTTTTGACAGTACACACACAATAATGTGAACAACACCAAACAGACTGACTCAGTAAGACTGATCAACTGTCATCATCATAAAGACTTTCCAAAATGACCATTATTATTATTATTATTATTATTATTATTATTATTATTCAAAGCAGCAGGGGACATCTGCACAATTTTATGTAGAAATATTTTTATTTTATTTGAATAGATCTATTTAAAATGCACAACACATTCAATAATGTCATATTCTGTACTCATTGTATGTTAAATAGGTTGAAGGTTTAAATTTGGATTGAAACAAGCCTATTTTCAGGTGCAGTTGTATAATTTGTAATGCCCCTTTCACCCGAATCTAAGATAAACACCAGAAATGATCTGCACAGGAAGAGGAAGTTCAACGAAACTGTATTTTATTTAGCTTCAGGTTCAGTCTGACGCTCAGTCAGCAGTGAGATAACATGGAGGTTACAGCTTTCTCTATCAGACTGTGTGAGTACTCATTTTGTTTACCAATTCATTGTTTCTCTATATCAATACAGTATAATATTAAGTAAGTAAGTAAGTAAGGTAATTAAGTTTATTATGTATGTTTAATATATCGTTTTTATTGTGCCGGGTCCATGTGATTATGTTCTTAGAAGACCCACTGTATGAATCAATATCATTCATATTTATATTCTATATTCATATATACCTTATATCTAACTTCGACTGTGAGTTAGTCTCTGGGAATTATTATACTAGAGTGTTAAGCAGCTGCCCAAAATGTTGTATCAATCTTTAACATTTCAAGTATGTTATAAATGTCTCTACGATTATTATATAATGTTTAAGGGAAAATGTACACACAGTATAATAGCATGTATATACACGCTCTCCTCTTCTGTGTCCCCAGTGAATGTGTTGATGCTGCTGGTGGCACATGTTCAGCAAAGTTATCCTCAGACATCTGGTAAGCGGCAGTTAGTTAATAATATTATTATGTTTATTCTACCTTTTTCTGTACTTTTTGGGTCTAAATTTATGTAGTTTTCTTACTTTTCTGTCAGATTTTCGTATTGTTCCAACCAGACTGCAGCTCTTTGAATACGAGTCTGTCCAGTTTACCTGTGAGGGGTTTAATGTCCCAGCTGGATGGAAAGTGAGGAACTTCAAGGAATTTGTTCCAAAATGTTCAAATGGCACACTGACGTCAACAGTGAAGTGCACCATTGACTATGCCTTTACATCAGACAGTGGAGAATACTGGTGTGAAGGCGGAGGAGGAGAGAGGAGCAACACTGTCAACATCACTGTCACTGGTATGTAGATTGTATTTTATCTGTAAAACCACAATATGTCAATGACAGAAATGTTAAAGTCCCTCATTCTGCCTTCCTAAAGTATACTGTTCAATGCATTTCTGCTTCTGAACATTTTGTAATGTTATTCAGCTGGTTCTGTGATCTTGGAGAGTCCTGTCCTTCCAGTGATGGAGGGAGATGCTGTCAGTCTGAGCTGTAGAGTGAAAACTTCCTCCAATCTCACAGCATATTTCTATAAAGATGGAATCCACATTAAGACCAGTTCCACAGAACACATCATCCACAGTGTTTCCAAGTCTGATGAAGGACTCTACAAGTGTAGCATGTCTGGATTTGGAGAATCACCAGAGAGCTGGTTGGCTGTCAGAGGTGAGACATTGCAATGTTTAAGATTAAAATAGGAACAATTATTTTTATGACTATTCTTTAAAAAAAAAAAAAAACACAACACAACACCAGCACAACATCATTGTCATTGTTGTCTTTATGTTTGTTTTTTATTTATAAATAGTTACATTAATTGAAATGTATGAGTTTATGTTACAGGAATAAAATAAAGTCAATGTTGGGAGAGCTAAAACAATGGATAACACTGATATCAATCGCTCCCCCAAAAAACCAGGGTCTTTCATCAATGTTCAGAATGAAGTTATACAGCCTTTGTTTTCCAGCTGGTTCTGTGATCCTGGAGAGTCCAGTCCTCCCTGTGAAAGAGGGCAACAATGTGACTCTGAGCTGCAGAAAGAAAATAACTGTCTCCAACCTCACAGCTGATTTCTATAAAGATGGCCTCCTCATGGGCAGCAGCTCTACAGGAGAGATGATCATCCACAGTGTTTCCAAGTCTGATGAAGGACTCTACAAGTGTAAGATCTCTGGAGCTGGAGAATCAGCAGAGAGCTGGTTGGCTGTCAGAGGTGAGACATTGCACTGTTTATCTTCTAATAGTTCTATAAAAAGCAGAACAGCAACCTGATAGATGTTCAGTATGTACCAGAGTAATGCTACAGCAGCCCTTAGAGACAACCTGTGACACACTGTTAATACTGCCATGCTGTTACAGCACATATATCCTCTTGTCTTTGCAGCTCTTCACACAGAGACTTGTCCCTCCTCAGATCACTCCTGTAATGTTCTCCTCCTTTTAAGGACTGTGTTCACCATTGTGATGGTGGCTCTGCTGCTGCTGCTGGTGGGACTACTTCACTGTGGGAAACTCAGTTACATAAAAATAACTGATACACGTGTACCGGTCCGTTCATGCTTTGGGTCTGGGGAATCTGACAGATCAGAATAGATAAACCCTAAAAGGCAGTCCTTCACTCTTGAGTGTAAGGTGTCAAACCTCTGTGTTACATGTTCATGCTTGCAGACTTTCTCACACACAGAAAAGATTAAAACCCACAGACGTACATGCATGAGCTATCTTTAAAAAGCCAGTCGACAGTTTTCTCAGCATACGTGGTTTAGTGTTTTATTTTAGACTCTAGTAGATGTGCTGCTTGTCAGACCGCGTGAGAAAATGCATTTTTGTATATAGCAGAGGCGTTCAGAAGGCTCGTAGAAACAATAAAAAGTTAATGGTAAATGGACCTGTACAGCACCTTTCTCGTCTTCCGACCACTCAAAGCACACACGTTCACTCAGTGATGGCAAAGCCCATCAAACAGACACTAACTCATTAATACACATTCACACAGCATCGGGAACAATTCAGGGTTCAGTATCTGGCTCAAGGATACTTCGACATGTGGCACCAAGAGCCAGGGATCGAACCATCAACCTTCTGATTAGGGGATGACCCGCTCTGCCTCTGCGCCACAGCTGCCCACTTACTGTGTTGATAGCTGAAAGGGTAAAAATTGTTGTCGATTGTTGTGTTTACATATTCACATTCACACCTGTTCTACCATCTGCTGTTACTGCATTACCTGCCTTTTGTTTACTCTTTCTTTTTTCTTTCAAAATAGCAAACTGTCAATTATATTGAAAGAATAGAATAAAACATTGTACTTGCTAACATGCTAGTGTCACCCAGTGGGTGTGAGTGTTAGTATCTTTTCAGCACAGCGCACTTTGCTCTGGTTTCAGGCTCACTGAACCCCCTGGTGGCCTCAGCAAAAAACAAGCTATAAGTGCAGTCCATTTACCTTAGTGCTGTGTTTGGTTGTTGTTGTTTACATGATGGATTTTCTTTTTCCTATTCTTTTCATGATTTCTGACATTACTGGGATATATTTATTTGAATAATGAATAATGATGATTCTGTTCACAAATGTTTGTCAGCACAAATAATTTATCACAATATAAAAGACTGTACAAATATTCTACAGGACATGTTGAGGTCAAAAAAGTTTTAAAGTTAATATTTCTCAAAGCAAATATTATTTAAAATTTAGATTCAGATTATTTAGAATATTTTGACAATATAGCAAAATATCAGCATCTACATATACATACTCTTTATATCTTTTTTCCAGTAAAAA